TAAAGTATTACAAACATAATACATCAAGAACGGAATGACTAATTACGAGATTGGAAATAACATAGGAAATACAAATAACAAGAAATATGTATAACATAGACAATACTAATAATATAGGAAACATGGGTCACTTGACAAAAGAGCAATTTACCTGACAATTCTGGAATATGGCTGGCATAACAATGTACTTGCAATTACCTTTTAACTCAAGCTCACACCTTTTTTATTTGCATGATCTGTGGGAAAGTCAAACTTACATGGCTAGTTGCATGGACTGGGGCTTTAAGGGGGGGGGGGGGGTTGGTTTCTACACCTGGTGTCTTCTCTTGATTTTCTGAGCCAGAAGAAAGGAAAATGAAGATTATCAGAATTAAAGCTGGTTTGGAAAATCTGCAGATACAGTTTACAGGAAAAAATTGTAAAATGCATGCTTTGATAGACCCTTTTACTCCCAAGATCTCAATAGTAATTCTCCTTACTGTCTGCTATACAATTCTTGTAATGTTAGTTTGGAGAATTTGGTCTTGGATCAACTAATAATCCCCTGGTTGACATTTGTATTTATTCTCATCACTAGTCTGCATGATATTGTATTTATGTTGTAAGGAGAAGTTCTGTCTTGGTCACTCATGGGAGTTAAAAGGTTAAACAAAAAAATGTATTTTATCCTTTTACTATCAGTTGATGTTCAAATGTTGGTTCAACGTCAGTGTCTGGGAAACTGCTCACCTACCCCTCCCTTAATACAACATTAACCCTTAGTTGTAAGCAGTTGACAGTTGTTGGGTTAGGGGAGGGGTAGGTGCGCAGATGCTGACATTGATCTGAAATGTTTATGGTGTATCTACAGAGCTTTTTACTTTTTCACCATTTATAACTTTTCACACCGAATCCAGATTGTTTCTTAATTCCCAAATTCAGAGATACATTTTTTTAAAGAGCTGTAACTTATGAACTTTGATGAATTTATTTCACTTGACAGTCACTTATACATGTAGTTAGTATGTTAGTAATGGAATCACAATTGTAAGCATTTTTATTTTGTACAGCTTCCTTTTTCAACAAAGACCAAGATGGGTTGTCCTTTAAGGCAGCTCTTGTGTCCGGTTTCCCGGGAGTTGGTAAAACCACATCGGCGACACTGGTTTGTGAATAGCTTGGTTTTACGTACATTGAAATGAATGCCAGTGACACACAGAGCAAAAAGACCTTGGAAGAACACATTTCTCAGTCATCGAACAATTAAACCATGGATGGCCTTCTGACAGGTTGTCAAATTTCTGTAAGATTTGGAATTACTTTGATATTATTAAAGATGCTTCATTCATTCTCCTGTCTTACTAAACTGATTTTCCATTGTAGTTAATTTAATTTTAGTCCCAATTTTCGAGAATTCCACGTTATCCGGTCGAAGAAAATCAGATTTAATTTTTCCTTATATTTTTTAGTCATATTCGCTATACGGTAACTTTTTGTTAAATTTGGCCTCATGTCATTTCTTTTCACTCACCCGTCGAATCACAGCACTATTGGTCAACTTTTCCTGTTTCCAGGCCGACAAATCGCCTGCATCTTTAATAAGAAAATTTCCTTCACTATGCTTTCAGTATGTGTGTTTCTCATTCTCCCCAGTCCTTTCAAGACCTCTCGTATGGCAATCCAGCGCCCTTCGATCAACCTAAGCAGGCGATGGTTTAACGACCATCACATCAGCCAAAAAAAATTAAATTGAAAAAATAGCATGTTTATGTCATTGCGCTATATTCCGGATTAATGAAAATGAAAAGTTAAAAAATGTTATATGAGGCCCTGTCCAAACTTGGCGTATAAATAGTGAAACAACATAGCTCCAAAATACAATCGTGGATCACGAAATAAACAATGATACACCATTTTCTGTTTCGAGCTCGATGAGTTCATATTCAGCTTCTTCAATACTGCTGGTGTGACCAAGTGCACCGTTTTGTTACACACTTGTGGGGCAAATCACATTTTCATAGGAGTTAAGGTGAGGACAGAATAAGTTCATAGCGACCTAAAGCAGTGAATGAGATAAACGGGTATTGACTAAAGATACAAATAGAAATAATTTGAGACATGAGACACTAGAATGAAAGAAATATCGATCTTATTTACTCGTCACGAACGCAGGATCGAATCTTAGACCATCGGATTTTACGAGTTGAAGTTCTCACATATAGCTATGGATTTCTCGTTAATGAGCCAAGACATACAGTGGATACATAAAGGATCATCCTGCATACTGCCTAGATCATCAATGTCGAAAGTTTCATGTCTTAAATCACATAATGATACAAAGGAAATTTCAAGCTCTTTCGTGACAGAGGAAAAAATCATTTTTAACCAACGACCGAAAAAAAAAACCCTATCCGTCAGATCAGGTTAAACGACAGATTAAATATCAATGCTGACATGTAAATAAACATACCAGACCTTGAGGTGGCTTATTTATCTTCCCATGAGGAATTTACGAAGCTGCGGCATTTCTGATTCCAGTATCAAGTGCGTCACATATCCGTAGGGAACTATTATACAATTATTTATGGCCTCGCTTACTGTATCCAAACTCAGCAGACAATTCTGGAGCTCAAAGAAACAGAGAGCTAGGGCCTCAGATTTCTCCTCCAACCTAAAGACAACTGGTTCAGTAACAATTTATCCATAAAATTCCTGCATGATACTGAGGGTTTCTGCACACAGAGATGCATGGAGTACATAGATTTAAAAAATTTTGAATATCTTCCTCGGATATTTCTTTAAGAAGAGTACTTATGATATTCGCTTTAATTCTTTATAGCACGCGAAACGATTTAAATATGCTTTTCTCTAGATACAACGAGAAGTCAAGTATTTTTCTTGGAAAAGAACTTTATTGGAGTTAAATTTATTGCAAGTACTCTTCAGGTGAGGAAAGCTAATGAAGAAATATGTAGCATATTACAATCGAAAGACATGAAAATTGGAAAAAAAAATATATAAAGAATACATATTATTGATGTGATTTCTTTAGCTTTGTATCTCCCTCCGGTGATGAATATGTGCAACTTGTTATTACAAAGTATACGTAGATATCAACGCAACAACCAGCAAAAAAATTAGTGTTCGTTGAGAGCAGAGAAAGTTATCGCTTATAGCGAAGTATCTTGGTATAACATTAAATTTTCTTTGCATGTGAGAGAAAGCCAGTGAATGAAAACAACTGAGGGATGGATGCTCATTTTAACTTGTTCGGGACTCGACTACACACGAACAAACCCATCTTGATTTTGTGAATCAGCATCGTTTTCATATAAGGAAGGAACAGATTTTATTATTCAAAAACTGATTGTATCGGGATGACATCCAAAGCGCCACTGAATTTCACTGGACACTTACGCTTTTGACTGCAAAAATATTAAGTGCAGAATTGGCGAGAGTTGTTTACGGTAAAAAAAAGTTCACCGTTATTATATTTAGAAACGTTGTCACGGTGAAAGTGGAAAATGAAAATTTGAGAGAACTGTAACGCTAAAGGGAAGATGACCAAAAACAAATGTTTATCATATAAAATACGCTGATTGGTATCGCCAATCAGCTGCTGGACGTCACCCGCTTTTCGCGCCACTTTTATACGTTCGTGAATGAATGGCAAATTCTCATTCGTTAATAAAATCGCCTTTCAAGTTGTCTGCAAATGCCTATGGTGTTTATATAGTAAACAAAATAATACTTGGCTGCTTGTAGATATGGGATTACTATTGTCATAGAGAGCGCATTGAACGAGGGATATATCGAGTTGATAACTTGAAGAGAAATTGCAGTGGTACAATATAACTCACGGTGTGAATTCATCTTTATCGATTCAGTTATGGCAGAATGTAACATTTCCTGCTCTGAAGAGAAAAGGGATTTTGCGGATTGCCAGTATTTCGCACTAAAAGAGAAAGAGCTGCATTAAATTACAAACTGAATCAATTAATAGTCATGCAGAAACATGTAAACAAATAATAACCATAAAAGAATAAAACAAAGAAAAAAACAAGCACGATAACTAAGAAGAACAGCAATTTTGATCGCGAAACTGAGAATTAGACGAGGTTAGATCTTCTAAACTCGTGAATATGTAACCTTCATTTTTTTATCGAAATTGTTGTAAAGCAAAGTATTATTCTTAATATTTTCAGGCATGTAGAATTAACAAATGACATCGTTTGGAGAACAGAGGGATTCAGAGGATGACAGTTTAACAGGTACAAACCAATTTTCATTCTGCAACTGATTATAGCTGTAGAGCTCATGTTATTTACAATGAAAGATCATAATCTTAATTTCCCTGCGACTGACAACAATATTCGAATGGAATATTTTATTTACTAGAACTTATGAATTTGTTAAAGAACCTTTGTCCAGCAATTTTCGATAGCTTTGAGGGAAATTTTATACATGCGCTTTGTAGAAGAACAGAGATCTTACACTCGCTACCACGGGTCGATAAACGTGTTTTGTTACGCAATAGGCTCGCGGGGCGTTGGTAGAATTCGTGACGGTTACGTAGACCTTCGGAGGTGTTTCGGGCTTGAATAAGTTTTGCGAATTCTCTCAGCCCCACACGCGATAAAATGAAGGAATGAGAGAAAGATTCTTTTATTGCATAACATTTTATCTGTGTTTATCCATGCCTACCGGGTACAATTGGGTTGTTTATTGCAACTCACGCATTTTGATAAGGGACAGCCTTGAACAACGTTTCCTTAGAAAAGACTAAAAAACAAACAAGCAAACAAACAAACGAATGAAAAAAACAAACATGACACAACCCGCTAAACTTGACTGGAGCTGTCACGCAACCACAATAGCGTGACGGAGGGAACTTTCAGATTCTCGTTCATCCTCTATGATTAAGTATACAACGTTTTCTCTAGGTTATTTTCATTTGAGTCTCCTCTTTTTTATTTTTAACGATGTAGCGCAGTGCAATCGATTCCATTTTATTTCTAGCTATGGCAGAAAGCAACCTCCCAACAACGGGAGAAGAACTGGGAGTGAAAAATGAGTTTCCAGCTACAGGTAAGAAAGGGCAACAAGGAAAGACTTCTTTATGGTAATTTTCTACTGATTAAGTATACCTTAATTCTGGTGTACAATTTTTTTTTATCACTTCGACTTGATGGTTTTAGGAATCCACTAATTAAATACGCCAGTATTAGAACGCTAGTTGTAATTGCACATAGTTGTGATCACTAACAAAGTTGAAATATCTTCTCGGTAATTTCAGCGACAGAGAAAAGTCAAGTTACGTCAAGTGACGCTGAACTGGATGTAGACGATGACCTTTTAAGAGGTGAGAAAATATTTTTTGAAAGAAGTCCCCATGAAGTTTTTTCACATTTACATCAAAATTTGCGTATGTTCTATGAATAAGTTTTTGAAACAGCAAAAGATTGTTTCTTCAAATTTCAGACTTAATTACCAGTAAAATAAAAACAAAGGAAAAAAACAAGTTACCCTAAATTAAAGAAGAATGGGCCAAAATTGGCCTACTAGGCTTTGTAAAACTCGGTTTTTCTGAGTTTTAGAAGTGCTTACTTGTAAATCAACACACAATGTTTTGGAGATTAACGATGTATCTACAGTTTGCACCTAAAATGGAGGATATTTGCGTAGTAAGAGTATTATCCTTTTGCACTTGAAAATATTGTAAATTTGGTCATTTTTAGTGTGAAAGTCATATTCGGCAAGAGAGAGCTGTTGGTATCCGTGGGCGAATACCAATTTTCGAAGTTTTGAAAAATTTGCAAACGGATAACTTTTTGAGGCTGCCAAAAGGAAAGCATTTAGGTTAACACATTTTTTCCCCTTATTGTTCAGTACGTGTTTGACAGAAATTTTACGCAATTTGAGAATTCTACGGAGAGGAGGAGGCATTTTGTCTCGGCCGTATCGCCTGTTTTGGTCTTCTAAATATTTCACGCCCCTTTAGACAGTTATGTCAACACCAGGCCCACGCTGTAAACCACCAGCCAACAAAATGTGGAACCGCTGACTTTCACAACAGGCAAAATGGCACTTCGCGGGAAAGTGATACTTTCCCAATCAAATTTCTCCAGTTAGCCTCTTCGAGTATGTTCTCAATAGACAATTACATGTATGAGAAAAACCAAGTGATAAAGAGAAAAAGACAAAAAAAAAACCTTTTTCCAGCTCACATTTCTGAACAATGGTAAAACCACGAACTCGTCACTCTCAGACTCTCAGTACGATGTTCTTTTTTTTCGTTATCAGAACATTCACAAGTTTTAACCTTTTTCGGTCCTGGCTTTGCTTTGCTTTATGCAATAACTTATGGGGTTTGATATTCTAACATGAAATTTTGGAAAACGTAACCCATGTGTAAAAGGGTCATTGGAAAGTCTCTCGACCTAAATGTAAACCGATCAGACTTGATGTGGTTATAGCCAAGCTACAGCTAAAACTCCAAATAGCTTGCATATTTTAAAGAAAACAAAATGCACAGATAAACTCTCCTGAAGGGCGATTGTAAACAAAGTTGAGTTAAGATAGGATCTTCCGGTGAAACTTATGATATTTTGGAAAACGTAAGCCAGATGTAAAAGGAGTTTGGAAAGCCTCTCGACCTAAATGTAAATTGATAAACTTGTGGTAGTAGCCAAGCTACAGCCCAGACTCCCGGCAGCTTGCACACAAACAAAATGTACAGATATTAAACTTTTCTGGTTGTTTTTTCTTATAGCTCTGAGCTCCTTTAACTTAAAAGTTCATTTGGATATATAGAGTTGGCACCATCCGTCAAGGGTCGTATCACTCATTACTAAATCATTAATACTAAAACGTTGTGTTTTCAGAAATAGCGAAAGTATGTCTCGAGGAAGGTAACAAAGAATACAGACAAGGAGAAGCTAATAACGCGATAAACTCGTACACGGAAGGACTTCGAGTGAACTGCAAAGATAAACGACTGAACGCCAAGCTTTACAGCAACAGGGCAACAGCTCATTTCCGTTTGGGTAACAATTTCATACGTAAACATAAATCTGTCGTGCAGCGTTACATGATAACGGAATACACAATCTGTATCAAGAAAAGAAAAAATTGAGCAAATGTAGAAAAGTAGCATACAAACATAACTTGCCCTGTAGCGGATGAAAATTAAGCAAAGAAATGATCCTCGTTACATTTCAAGCAATTGTAATTTTTTAAGGCTTCTTTGTTGCAATTCCATATGATGACCACTTTTTTAAACCTTATTTCCTGAATCTCATAGAAAACTACGTGGAATGTCTCGATGATGCAACAGTTGTCGTTCAGTTGGAACCCACATTAATCAAAGCTATTAAGAAAGGTGGGTTTTTCAGACATGAGCCATCAGCATTCTATTCTATGATTTCGTCAAAAGAGGATTGTGTGGTTTGTGGCAGGTTACTGCTCCCCAAGTGTCAATTGTATCTGGTGTGTCAATGTCTGTAATGTGGGTAAAAAGCATAAGAGAATGTCAATAAGCTCTCAAATACCGCTGCCTGTTTAGTTCACGTTGTAAACCGCCGGAGGTCGAGGGTTCAAGCCTTAGACCGGACCATCTCCCTTAGTCTTAAACATCTGAAGACAATGTGCTGCCGCCTAAGCTGTGACATCTGCAAATGGTTTAATATTCTAGTCTCGGATAAGAACGGAAAACCGTAAGCCCCGTTTCTTGCATCTTCTCTGTAACTCAAGGAGGCACCTGAAAAATTCCCTTTCAAAAGTTGTAAACTGCTCAATGCAGTCTGCCCGAAAATTTCCTCGAAAAGTGCTGAAAAGCGCATAATAGCACATTAAAATGAAGAATGTACGAGATAAATTTATCGTTATCATCATCAATTGAAGCTTAATTGGTGGCCGCTTTCCATTAGCTCCTTATTGTTTATTTTCAGTTCTTCTACAAGTTCAAATTTCCTTCATTATCACAATTTTTGTTCCCAGCTAAATGGGAAATTAAGTCCATTTTATCAGTACGTTTATACTTTAACAGTGATGAATACTTCGTACCAACAATTATTCTCTCCTTTTCAGGAGCCAGAGCTTGTGTCGAACTTGGCTTGTATAAAGAAGCAAGGAGCTGGTTGCATATGGGATTGGCCGTATCCTTTAACGAACGTTTCAAACGTGATACGAGATGCAATGCGAGTAATATTTCAAGGGAAATCAATACGTTCCGGAGAGATTCTTCAGCACATAATGGAAGCAATGTTATCTTATACTGCACTGAGCAGTTTAAAGAAGCTAGAATATTCTTAAAGAGTTCTTTCGACTATTCCACGAAACTTTACTCAAAAGAAGAGGCCATATTAATTAATTCCCAGAGTTTGAGCTGAATACCCCTCATTTTTGTCTTCAGACGAGCATCACCATGACGACCGAACCTAAACCAATAAATACGCTTCAGAGCTAGAAAAAACTCTCCAATAACTTGAAATCAAATCTCTAAAAAAACCCACGTTCGAATAATCATTCCAGTTTTAAGGTTCTATCTAATACTCTCACTGTTTTTTTTAAATACACATTTCCATTGCATTTTCGCAAATCTGCTGATTTATCGACCCTTGACACGTTTTAAGATTGAAAATGACGACAAACGTCTGCTTCGATTACTAAGGAAAACTAATGCTGAACTAATAGTCATAGCAAACAGTTCTTCCAATCTCGGAAACGCTTATCAAGGACGAGGACAGTTCAAAACAGCCATCCAGTACCATCAACGTCATCTAGAAATTGCTAAAGAAGTGGGAGACAAGGCCGGAGAGGGAAGAAGTTATTGCAATCTCGGCAACGCTTATCAAGGTCTAGGACAGTTCAAAACAGCCATCCAGTACCATCAACGTCATCTAGAAATTGCTAAAGAAGTGGGAGACAAGGCCGGAGAGGGAATCAGTTATGGCAACCTCGGCAACGCTTATAGCGGTCTAGGACAGTTCAAAACAGCCATCCAGTACCATCAACGTGATCTAGAAATTGCTAAAGAAGTGGGAGACAAGGCCGGAGAGGGAAGAAGTTATGGCAACCTCGGCAACGCTTATCGCAGTCTAGGACAGTTCAAAACAGCCATCCAGTACCATCAACGTCATCTAGAAATTGCTAAAGAAGTGGGAGACAAGGCCGGAGAGGGAAGAAGTTATGGCAATCTCGGCAACGCTTATTGCAGTCTAGGACAGTTCAAAACAGCCATCCAGTACCATCAACGTCATCTAGAAATTGCTAAAGAAGTGGGAGACAAGGCCGGAGAGGGAAGAAGTTATGGCAACCTCGGCAACGCTTATCAAGGTCTAGGACAGTTCAAAACAGCCATCCAGTACCATCAACGTCATCTAGAAATTGCTAAAGAAGTGGGAGACAAGGCCGGAGAGGGAAGCAGTTATGGCAACCTCGGCAACGATTATCGCAGTCTAGGACAGTTCAAAACAGCCATCCAGTACCATCAACGTCATCTAGAAATTGCTAAAGAAGTGGGAGACAAGGCCGGAGAGGGAAGAAGTTATGGCAACCTCGGCAACGCTTATCACGGTCTAGGACAGTTCAAAACAGCCATCCAGTACCATCAACGTCATCTAGAAATTGCTAAAGAAGTGGGAGACAAGGCCGGAGAGGGAAGAGGTTATGGCAATCTCGGCAACGCTTATCACAGTCTAGGACAGTTCAAAACAGCCATCCAGTACCATCAACGTCATCTAGAAATTGCTAAAGAAGTGGGAGACAAGGCCGGAGAGGGAAGAAGTTATGGCAACCTCGGCAACGCTTATCGCAGTCTAGGACAGTTCAAAACAGCCATCCAGTACCATCAACGTCATCTAGAAATTGCTAAAGAAGTGGGAGACAAGGCCGGAGAGGGAGCAAGTTATGGCAACCTCGGCAACGCTTATTGCAGTCTAGGACAGTTCAAAACAGCCATCCAGTACCATCAACGTCATCTAGAAATTGTTAAAGAAGTGGGAGACAAGGCCGGAGAGGGAGCAAGTTATGGCAACCTCGGCAACGCTTATCAAGGTCTAGGACAGTTCAAAACAGCCATCCAGTACCATCAACGTCATCTAGAAATTGCTAAAGAAGTGGGAGACAAGGCCGGAGAGGGAATCAGTTATGGCAACCTCGGCAACGCTTATCAAGGTCTAGGACAGTTCAAAACAGCCATCCAGTACCATCAACGTGATCTAGAAATTGCTAAAGAAGTGGGAGACAAGGCCGGAGAGGGAAGAGGTTATGGCAACCTCGGCAACGCTTATCAAGGTCTAGGACAGTTCAAAACAGCCATCCAGTACCATCAACGTCATCTAGAAATTGCTAAAGAAGTGGGAGACAAGGCCGGAGAGGGAAGAAGTTATGGCAATCTCGGCAACGCTTATCGCAGTCTAGGACAGTTCAAAACAGCCATCCAGTACCATCAACGTCATCTAGAAATTGCTAAAGAAGTGGGAGACAAGGCCGGAGAGGGAATCAGTTATGGCAACCTCGGAAAGGCCTATCGCAGTCTAGGACAGTTCAAAACAGCCATCCAGTACCATCAACGTCATCTAGAAATTGCTAAAGAAGTGGGAGACAAGGCCGGAGAGGGAGCAAGTTATGGCAACCTCGGCAACGCTTATCGCAGTCTAGGACAGTTCAAAACAGCCATCCAGTACCATCAACGTCATCTAGAAATTGCTAAAGAAGTGGGAGACAAGGCCGGAGAGGGAGCAAGTTATGGCAACCTCGGCAACGCTTTTCACAGTCTAGGACAGTTCATAACAGCCATCCAGTACCATCAACGTCATCTAGAAATTGCTAAAGAAGTGGGAGACAAGGCCGGAGAGGGAGCAAGTTATGGCAACCTCGGCAAGGCTTATCGCAGTCTAGGACAGTTCAAAACAGCCATCCAGTACCATCAACGTCATCTAGAAATTGCTAAAGAAGTGGGAGACAAGGCCGGAGAGGGAGCAAGTTATGGCAACCTCGGCAACGCTTATCGCAGTCTAGGACAGTTCAAAACAGCCATCCAGTACCATCAACGTCATCTAGAAATTGCTAAAGAAGTGGGAGACAAGGCCGGAGAGGGAATCAGTTATTGCCATCTCGGCAGGATTTATCTCCGTCAAAGAGAGTTGAAAACGGCAATCGAGTGTTATGAATGTCACCTAGAAGTATCCAAAGAAGTGGAAGATAAGACTGGAGAGGCGTGCTCACTCTGTTTCCTTGGAAGCAGTTTTGAGTGCCAAGGAAATCTTATGAGGGCCTTTGACTGTTATAACTCGAGTGTAGAATTGTATGATGATATCAGAGCCAGTCTTCAACTCAACGATCAGTGGAAGATTTGTTATCGTAATCAGCACCAAGTTGCATACAAAGGTTTGTGGCGTATAAATCTCAATCGAGGTCAAGTTGTGAAGGCTCTTCTTGCCAGAGAGAAAGGACGTGCTCAAGCTCTGAGAGACCTCATGGTCACAAAATATCGGCCTGGAGATTCTTTAACGCCCAGTGCATTCCGCATTTCTCTGAGGTGGGTTCCATTGAGCACAGTTTTCATAGCTATTAGCGGACCATGCGTTTACTTCTGGGTTTGCCTTAGTGAAAATAAAGTCCAGATGAGAAAAGTACACGTGAACAAATACAAGTATGAGGAGGAATTGGAATTTTTCATTCAGCTACTGAACAAATCTGCTCTTAAGGAGATCGGTGCAAGAGATACTGTTACCATCGAAAATCCTCCGCTTGACTCGCCGATAGAAGAGAAAGTGGCCACTGATGTGATCCATGTTGATGTAAGGCACTCCCAGTCAAGTGCTTTAAAGAAGCTGCATGACATCATCGTTACTCCTATTGCTGATCTGATCGAAGGCAACGACGAGATCACATTCATTCCTGAGGGGCCATTTTGCCTTGTACCTTATGCAGCGTTGCAGGACTCCAACTCATCATATCTGGGTGATTCTTTTAAAATTCGTGTGCTTCCCTCTCTGACGACCTTGCAACTAATTCATGATTGTCAGGCTGACTTTCACATGAAGACTGGTGCATTGCTTGTCGGCGACCCATGTTTCAAACATATCATCTATCAGGGAACACTTTTGGTGCAACTTCCAGGAGCAAGGAAAGAAATAGAGATGATCGGACGTATCCTCAATGTCTCGCCTCTCACTGGAGAAATGGCAACAAAAGATGAAGTGTTAAAACGAATATCATCAGCGGCCTTAGTTCACATAGCAGCGCACGGTAAAATTGAAACTGGAGAAGTTATCCTGGCACCAAACACCACAAGAGATAACCCTCAGCCGCAAGAGAAAGACTATCTACTGACGATGAAGGATGTGATAGAAGCTGGGTTGCGAGCACGTCTGGTTGTACTTAGCTGCTGTCACACAGCTCGTGGGGAGGTCATGGCCGAGGGTGTGGTAGGCATGGCGCGTGCACTTTTGGGTGCCGGTGCCAGATCGGTTGTGGTAACCTTGTGGGCGATTGGCGACGAGGGAACCCTGGAGTTCATGAGTTTCTTCTACGATGCACTTGCCAAAGGCAAAAAGGCAAGTGAAGCTCTCAATCAGGCCATGAAGTGTATGAGAGAAATTGAAAAGTTCAAGGAGGTGATTTACTGGGCACCATTTGTACTCATTGGTGACGACGTCAACCTGGATTTCAAGGATATTTCAAAGCTCAAGCAAGTAGATATTCTGTTTACACATTCTATTCAATGCAAAGTTACCTTAAATCATAATTATAGCTTATGTATGAGCACTAATACTTGCTTGTTATTTTCCTCTCAGTTGGGTGATGAATTTATCTTTTGCTCCGACAAATTGAGATGCAGCACAATCAAGTGGACACGTTTACGATGATAACATTCTTTTTAGGAAACATGATAGGAGTAAAACAGCAAATTTCTTTTAAAACAATCCTGTTGTGCTCCGTATCGTTTCATGTTTTAAGAAATATTTCGTGGCGACTCAACTATCCTCCCTAAACTTAGATTCTTTTATTTTTCAGTTAAGGCAATGAGCATTGGAATCCCAGGGAGTTTCCGGATACCTAAAAACGCTGATATTTGGACCAGAAACCAGTAAGCTACGGCTGAAATATTTGTCAAGAGTCTTTTTTTTCAAAGCAGGAAGAACCAAAAGACGGCCAAAGGCAAGTTTGACAAGAGAACGGATTTCCTTTGATTCAAAAGCTGACTTTTTGTTTGTCGGAACTGCTCTTCCGAGCTTCATCTTTGATATCCTGCTGAAACTGCTGTTTTTTTTATGTCTTGAAATTATCATGACTAGCTATGTAAAAAATTATTTTTGATCTAAGTATTACCTACTAAGTGAATTTGGGCGAAGTTGAAACGTCTTGAAAAATGTTTCCCAGAGTTTTTTCAGACTTTTCCTCAATTTGTTTTTTTCTCATGATGGATGTAAAACTGTTACAGCCATGTGCGCGTGTGGAGAATTTCCATGGAAATTGGAGAATAATCAGTTATCCGATTGCTCGATTATCTTTTTTTTTTATGTCAGATGGAAATTTTGATGAACTTTTCGAGGATTTGTACCCAATCATCGGTACTTAAAGTTAGTTTCTGCCGATCAGAATTTGGTTTACCTGGCCTTAAAGTGACAGATTTTGGCCGTAATGGCCAGGATTTAGTCTTGGTATTTGTTAATATTCTGAGATTTCTCCTCTAATTTTGAAGGCGATGAAAAGTGTCCTTTTTATACAAGAAAAATGATGCATTTTAAGTATATTGTTTGAATGAATCGGTCCAAAGGCAAAAAGAGCAGTTTTATTCTAATTTTAGTTACTGGCCTATAAAGCATTGAGAGAAACTCAGAACGAGGTAGGAAATTGGAGCCAAATGATTTTATTTAGTTTCTTCGATTAGATTGTTTACCTATTATCTAAGTACAATAAACTAACAATGAAACAAGTCGCTTGACGTTTTGTTAGAATGGAAGAGGAAATCAATAACAAAGGGAAGAAAAATTTTCTGCATCAACCTGCATAAGCCATTTCTTGTCGTTTGAAGTAGTGAGCGCGCCTATGTCTTGTTTGCTTGATAATATTTGCCCATTTCTTTCAATTGGTTTAATGAATGAGAGATACACTTCGATATTTTTTGACTCAATAACTGCTAGTATTGATCATTGGCAGCCATTGCTTAGGATGTCACGCGACGCACTTCTTTAGCACGTTATGTGACAGATAAGATGTTTTGTCACATCTTGTCGTTTGAAGCAGTGAGCGCACCTATGTTTCATTTCCTCAGCCTTTTCCAATTTCCTAGGATAACGTTATCAAATGAGATATAAACTTCGATATTTTCAGATTTTATAACTGCAGCCGTTCCTTAGGATGTCATGCGACACGCTTCTTTAGCATGTAAAGCGACATGATGTTTTGTCATATATCGTTGAAAAGGCAAGTAAAAAGAAATTACCTTTGACTTTGGAAGATGGTGCTTTATTCTGTTTATAGAAAGCGTCCTCATCATGGGAGGTACCCTAGGTCGGTGTGCTTTCTCGAGTGTAGGAAATATTGATGAGCGTTGTCCCTGATCACTGGGCATTCCTGTTATGTTCAATCTGTAAGCCCCGATATTTTGACTTCACCCAAGATTTAGGAAACTACGACGACATAGATGTTTCAGCAGAACATGTTTACTGACGATAGCATATATTATAACCATTTTCTAAAAAGAGTCATGGGGGAGGTTCGGTTTATCCCCTTTGGGTTGGGAGTGTAAATGGCTACGTGGTTTCAAGGGTAGCATCAAAAGACGGATTCTCAAGAATCTCAGAGCTACGATTTCAGAAGGTTATGATGAGAATTTCCCTGAGAAATTGCTGGACTTAGGCTTATTTCGTCTGCTCAGATTTTCTCTTCGTGCTTCATTATTCTACTCCATCTACCCACCTTACGGCGGTTTTTACTATATACCACATAGGTGAATAATACTTTTCGCGTGGCCTGATTGGCTAATTCGGAATAAACAGTCGAACCTTTGTCAGTTGGTCCAATTTCTTTCCGAGATCCCCGCTCGGATAAAAAGGAGCGCACAAAATTAAATGAAATCCAGTTTCGCCGGTAGTCCTACCAATGTAATATTCCACTTCCACCTCACTTTCCACTCCCGCTAGTTTTTTTCCGAGAAAGATCAGAGGTCTTCACTATGTTGGAGCTCGCTAACTGTACCAAGCTGTCAGATAAGGGAGACTGAAATTGAATCATATTCAGTTTTCTTTGATTGATTCTAAAATGGCAGATAGTTCAGCGAACAACACTTTGCAGGAGTAATTACAATGCTGTCGATATTTTCATGAAAGCGCTTTAGAGACGCGTGCAAGCCTGCCCTGAGCTCTTCTTGTCTGGTTAATTGCGGTTTGTCAACCCTTCGCGCAAAGTCTCTCTAAGTTGTAGCCTGCAAGCCAAGAATCCTTTTTTTTTAGTCCATGTCTGATTCAAGACTCTTATCGAAATATGAAAAATTCGCAAGTGTGAAAAAAATCGTTCCGATATTTGCTTTCGCTAAAACAATTGTGTACAAAGTGCTCGCAATTGACCGTCAACTACGTATTCTTTCTTACCGCTGGTTCTTTGCTCCTCAGTTCCAAACCCACACCTCCCTTCCAAAATCTTTCCCCTAATCACCGACCTCATTAATTCACAACATTTCTTTGTCTCGTGCAACAACGTTTTACTTTTCTTATTGAATATTTTTTAAAGGTGCTCTATAGTAACAGAGAATGACAATAATAATAATAATGACAATAATAAACCTATGCTTAAAACACCTGGGCAAACCGTAATATTTATTTGCTATATTTCTCTTGTTTTTTTCCTATATACCTGACTTTTAACCTGACGTAAACTGCTTGCTCTTTTTTGTACGTATAACTTTTCAGTACTTAATATATTATCTTAAAAAAAAGAAACATGACACAAATGTACCAAAGAAAATGAAATAATACATAGAATCCATCATCGTTTACAGAGAAATCGATTTACAAAAAAATTTAGGGCGGTTTCCATTGGAGGAGTAATATTATGACTCAGCAAAAATTAAAAAACAACAAAAACCAACAACAACAACAACAACAAAAAGAACAACAACACCCAGATACAGACTGTATCATACTGTGGTAACAAATGAGGGAGACCCCTACAATTTTTTTATCTTTACCCCAATCTGTAGAAGATATCCGTAAAGAGCGAACAGTGTTCTTCCTTCTGGGTAAGTTTAAAAGTTTTACACTGGAACGTCAAAGTTGACGCTTCTAAGAGTCACAACAGTCGCCGTGAAGTGGCGGCCTTGGCGGCAGTACTAGACAAGAGATGGGTTGCGTAGGAGAGTCACGGCTAGGAACCAGCGGTTGACAGCCTTTAGGGACATGTGCGGCTGAAGGGGATCCCTAATAATGCCTGAAAGACAAAGAGAGAGACACGGCAATATAAGCTGCGTTTGATAGGTTTGGACGAGATCTGGAAGGAATTTGTTTGTTTGCCCTCTTTAGTCTTTTTGTGTTGGCCGTAACCTTATTCAAACACCACAGAATTTCATAATCATTTCACAACTCGATCGCTGCCTGTATATAAAAGTAAATAGAGGCATGAAACTGCAGGAAAAGCTAATGCCTATGCTTATTCCGTCACCTTCTGACGATTTTGAGTATAACTTGCCTCGTCTTACCCAATAAAGATGATAACTGCAGCTTTTTATTACAAACGTTTTGTTTTTATTTAGAATTATTTTTTAAATTTTTTAATTTTATTATTGTTATTATTATTATTATTATTTTATTTTATTTTTTTGCACAATGCATGAAAATGTAGAATTCACAAATGGAATTCTTCTCGTTTTTTCTTACAACATCAACTTTGCCCTCAGAATCCCATTACTTTACTAGATTAGTAATAGTTAACTTCTGGCATCTTGATCATCCTTCTCCTTTTGAAAAAGCTACTTACTTAGCAATGCTACTGCAAAATATCAGCTCTTACTACATGGATCACGCCTCTTACTCAATTTTTTGACGAAATAAAGTTCATTTGAACTGCGGATGAAAATCAAGCAAATAAATAATTCACCCAAGTTGACTGCATTTGAAGGAAGTACACAACTTGAAAAAATCCGGGCCTCAGCAGCTTCGAACCCATGCCTCCTCAATACTCACTTGGCTTTACTACCAATTGAGCTACCAAGCCTCGCTCCCAACGTGAGCTCTCAATGGGAGGCATAGGTTCGAATCCCGTGGAGAGCTGAATTCTTTTCGGGCTCTTTTTCTGTATTTTCCTTAAATTGCAGTCCACTTCCGCAGGTGATTTCTTTGCTTGCAAGCTACAAAGAAGTAATAAAACTACTCACTTTTAAAAGCTTAAGACCTGTAAGATAATTTTATCATATTTCTGTAATCAGTCTCTTAAAAAAATAACTTGTCCTGTAAAGAGGAATCAGTCAGTTTGATAGAGATAGAGACTAGAGAATATCAGTTAATTGTCTCTTGGTTAGGGACCATCGCATGCGATAAGGGAAGGGAGCAGAAAAACTGCTGAGATTTCGCCCTTCTCTACCCCTGTAAGACATTTTTATCAGCTATGCGATTTGCTTCATTTTCAGGAGCTACACATATATGGAGAGCATGCATTTAAGCTGTCAAAGTTGTGATGTGCACATGTATTGGAAGAAAACTAGGTAGATTTCTCTTTTCGAACTGCTAGATTTCTCTTAGCTCTCGGCTTTTATCTTTTCGCAATCCTGGATGATGCAATATCAAGCAGGTTGGTGATTGAACAAAGAAAAGTACCAACAAGGGAATTATCGTTTGAATTACCACCAAATTCAAAGAAGCAACTTCGTGAG